TGCCTGCCTGTCTTTCCTTGAGATTGAGGATGCTTTTAGACAGAGGGTCATAAAGACTGTACTGGTTTCAAAAGGTAGTCCTTGAACGAGGAAGAAAAGATGGCTTTGAAGCATTGTCTGAATGCTGCCCAAAGTGATGGAGGACAGCTGCCCAGGTTCTGCAGGCACATGTGCTCTTCACATCTCCCAGGTTACAGTACAGAATGCAACCAGTAGTGTATTTATATGTATTTTGTACGTTGCACCACCATTTTGTATGTGTATGTATCTATATCTATATGCAGCATGCATAACAACACAATAGATTGAGCTCTGGTTTATGGCTTGCCCGTTTTGTGAGGACTTAAAGGTTCCTCTCTCGACACTGACTTTTTAGGTCATTTAGCCAGGAAAATGAAGTAGATTTGCAAGAGGTAATAGTAATTACTTGTCTTGTTGCTATTCTTTCAGTATAACTGTAACCAGACACACAAGCATCAGGGCACAGGCTTCAATATACTATGACTGTCCTCTAGAGTTGTCCTCCTCCCTCTGCAAGTGAATCTGATGCCTGAAACTCTGGACCTTCATACTTGACCTTCTCAAGGCTAGGCTTCCAGCAAGAGGAAGGTGAGAGACTCCTCTCCAGCACAGAGATCATGTGAGCAGATGAGATTTACAAAAGAACATCTTAGTGTATAAACTGTTGTGCCGTGGTGGCTGCAGTAGTGTAAATGAGGAACAGCCCCTTTGGAGCAGTGCGGGGTGCCTCATTTCAGAATGTGCTTGGATACTTTTATGAGTCTTTTGAAGCCAGTTACTTGGACACAAGGGCATTTTGAATAATTTACAAAGCAGTCATGAGACATTGTGTGGTGGCACTTTGCTTCTCCTTTTCATTCTCTTGAGGAGGTCAAGTGAACAGATGAAACTTCCCATGTAGAAATGACAGGAAAGGTGAGGGAAATCCCATTTAGTCAACATTCAAATTAATAAACTACTTTGTAATTTCAGAACTATATTAATTTATTTCACATTAAAAATAGAAAGTCTGCAAGAATTTCTTCTTTCTGACAGAGTAACTGATGATTGACCATTGTCCATTTTTTTTTGTCAGTACAGCGTTGAGCTAACAGAAAGAAATCTAAAGCTGAGAACCTTCCCAGGACAGAAGATATTTCACACAGTTTTACTAGCAGCTGCATATGTACGTGCTGGGCAACTGACCAGACTGGAAGTAAGAATATATATTGAAAAAATATAATATAAAATGCCGAAGCCATGTAGATGTTTTTTAAGCAACAACAAAAATCCTTGTTATGATTTTTTTAGAGTTGCATTAAAACAACAGCTAACAAAAGGGGGAAGCTTCTGTGTCAACAAGCTTAGAACAATCACACTTTTCCAGGATTTTTATTTCAAATTCAAATGGAAATCACTTGTTCATTGTTGTTTTGGTTGGGGGTTTTTGGTTGTTGCTGTTGTTTATTTGTTTTTAAATTCTGTTTTGCATGTGATTTTTAAGCAAAATGCCTTTTTTTAAATTGTCTGATGATGAAAGAAAAGTTGTCTTAATATCTTTGTTGTTCAAGAAATATGGAAAAAAAAAAAGTTGAAATGACGAAAACCAAATTTGTTTGGGGGAGAAGGTGTATGGAAGACTTGTTTGAATGTGTAGTTAAATTAATTCTTGGGATACGTGGCACCAGATATACTAGATGTCATTTTTGGATTTTTTTTTTTAATGGTAGCTGCAAATTAGGATAAATGTATGGTTCAGGTTAGTCTTACTTACTAGTTCTTATTACTCTTTATATCACTTTTATAAATTTTTCAGGTGTTTAAAAAACCTAAAAGATTTAACTTTGAAATATCTCTGAAGTTTACAACTAGATAGGATCTCCCAAAGTTTTCCATGAGATGCAGCAAGCTGTTTAAATACATGCTGCCAGTTTCTGTGCTTTTGATATCAGGATTGTTTTCATGACCTAGTAATTTACGGGGGTTTGCAACTCAGTGGCCTTATTTTGCATGTAAGATTACCAGTGAAGAGCAAAAGCTGCTCGTAGTTACTCTAAAAGGCTTGGCTTCTATTTCAATCTTTTGAAGGTTACTTTAACTGAGGAACACTCCAACAAAAGTAGCAGCCTAACTTTGCAAGACATTTCCATCTGAACTTGTAATAAAAAGTATGTAGTCCGATTCACTCCCTGGGCGAGAGGGAAATAAATCTCCTGCTTAAGACAGCCATTATATCTGGTGCCACATATCGGGTTGTCTCTACAGCTCCCTGTTAAAATAGAGTTGTAGGCTTATTAGCATCCTATTAATATGTGCATAAAATGTAGTCTGTGTCTGAGCCCAAATACACAAGCTGAGAAATCAAAGAGAAATCCTTCACACCTTTTGCTGGCTTCATCCTGAACTTTTATTTAGCTCGCAACAACTTCCTTAGGAGAATTTCCTCTTCTAAAGGAAACACTTTTCTCCATACTTAACAGGGGAATACTGCATTGAATGATTTTTGGAGTGACACAGTCACCATTGAGAGAGAATTGCTTTAATCGTGACATACGAATCTTAATTTTGTTTTGTGTAAAGTATCAATCAATTTGAAAAGCATTGACTCATCTAGGGCTTTCTTTCTTTATAGGTAAAGGTTAGGGAAATGTTGAGTAGAGAGTATTTTCACTTATTTTATCAAAAGCTTATGAAGGAAGAACTACAAAGGCTGCACTGTGTTACAAGTTTTGCTTTATTTGTATGAACAATAGTAGCATAATTGTTTCTGAATTCTTTAGGGCTTTATATGTACTTCAGCATTACCTCTAAAGTTACCTCGGGTTGGTTTAATACTGCCTTAGATATTGAAGTGGAAAAACTTTGTCTTAAACAGTCATTGTAAGCTAAACAGAACGAATTCTAAATTATGTTAATAAGCATTGGATTTAGGCTGAACTAATATAAGTCACTATTAAACTGAAATAAGACTCTTGTACAAGTTTAAAATTCAGCGTTTGAGTGTTTTCTAAACCAGTGCAGCTTGGTGCTCAGACAAAGACTGTTCTAGTTGTAAAGTCAAGTAGACTGCAGTCTCATGCTAGTTAAGCACTGTCCTTTTTCCAGGCAGATAGAGAAACACCCTGATCATTTTCTCAGGCAGAAAAGAAAAAAATGATTCCCTAATACAGTACTGACTTTTATATTCACGCTGCAGTTTGGAAATTTGATAAATAAGTATTTATCAGCTTATACACATCTCTGATGATATCTTTCCCTGCACTAGTAGTCAGACTATCATTTGACTATTACTGGTTTTTAACTTGTGTTTTGGGAGCCATTGGCAACTGGCTGTGGAAAAGTGCATTTCCTAACTCTTCTTGGTCCAAGCTGGTTCAAAAAGTTACATCTGAGAGCCTGGCCTGGGCTCCAGAATAATTTGAATAAGTTATCAGGAATTGTGCCACTTTGTGCATGGGAGAAGGACATAGAGAATGAGGTGGAAGTGTTGGATGGTAATCTTATTCAAGGTGGCATTTCTATAAAGCAAGATGAGAGCTGCACTTGGGGAGGGAATTGGATAGATCCTTGCATGCACTGTTTTGTCTGATGCCTAGCAAAGTTCTCATATGTGCCTTATGAATTGTGAGGAATTGTTTAAAAAAAGTTGAGCAATTCTGTTAAAGCTTGAGGATTGAGAAAACTTCATTTGGCAATGGAAGCTGAAGTGCTTTTAAAATCAAACCAGCTATTTGTGCCCTTTAAATAAATCTAATTTTACAGTTCAGATAGTTTCCAATAGCTTTATGTTGTTCAAACCACCAAAAGTCTGTATTTTGTTCTTCAAGATTTTTTTTTCCCAAAATATTTTCCCCCTTTATTTTCCTGCTTTGCAGCTGCCAGTGAAAGTGTCCCCTGAATTGCTTGCTGGTAACTGTCCTGCAGAACTGGCACCAGCAACCTCCATGCAAGCACCTCCCACACTCATGTGCCAATAGGTCTGGAAAAGGTACTGTGTCCAATTACTGTTGTTGAAAAGATTTGTAAAAGTATGCTAATGCTTCTTTTTACGGGAGTTCCTTGCACACTGTTGCTCAGAGCTTCCACAGCATTATTTCCCATTGTATGGTAATGTCAAATAAATACATGGGTGACTGGAAAATGCAGACTTCCACTGCTGGAGCCTGCATGCACGAAATGGTTGAACTTTTGTAGCCTTATCAACTCTGTTATGGAGGCCTCTAAGTCTAAAAAGAATCAACAGTTCAAATTTTCTTCTCTTCCAGTATTTTAAGCTCATTTAAAGTCTGTTTTCCACAATAAGTCATATACATGGATTTAATGCAAATATGGAAATAAAATTAAATTTAAAAAATAAAACCCAACAATTCTTTTCTGCCCAAGATCTTTTGGTGGAGGAGACCATATCTGTAGAAATTAATAGATCCGCTCAACTTTTTTTGTTGTAAAGGCCTATAGATGTCTAATTGGACTCATGTTCATTTGCAGGCATGTCTGCATGGCCATGGTGTGCCCTGGAGTGTTTTGGGTACACAGAAGGAAAACAGCAGTGGTGATGAAAATAAGCATATTTAAATAAGTAACTGGGGTTGCTGACAAACTTCAAATCAGCTTTATCCCTACTATTTAAACCCGGAAGTACTTGAGGTACATTGAAATGTCAGTATTTACGTAGCAAAAGTCTTTAGCACTGATTACCTCAAATCTGCAGCACTTTTAAGTCAGCTTCCAGTTGTCCCCCCTTGGCACTTGTCAGCTCACCTCATGAAGTGAGGCCGAGATCGGATGGATGTAGGATATGCTTCACCTTGTGCATGCCAGCTGCTAGTGGGTGTTTTGGTCCACAGATCCAGATTAGAGGTTGCTCAAAGTAAAAAACCCAAAGTGGATGCTGGGTCCTCAGTACTGACCTTCATTCTGCAGGTTCGGCTTTCTCTGTGTGGTGCTAATGTAAGTGTGACCAGAGATGTGCACCCAGATTCTGTTAATTTAATTAGTCTTAATCTGTCTGTAGTGCATCTTAGGATGTGTGAAACTCTTGGTCCTTGTTATTTGTACTGATGAAGTCTGTAAAAATGTATTAGGACTTAAAATCTTTACCTTGGATATGTAATTCCTTGGTATGCTAGCAGATAATCACTCATTTTTAATATTGACAGCTATATATTTTGAGCAAATAAAATAACCTAAAGACTGCAGGGCTGGTTGTGCCAGTCTGTGTTAAAAAATGAAGGTCTGCAGGAGCAAACGGTGGTAATTTTGGATATTTTTCTCAGCTGCTTTCTTCAGAAGGAAAAATTTTGGGGAGTATTGAAGAGAAAGGGGGAAAAATTGACTGCAGGGGAAACTGAGAGCTGGATCATGGTCTAGGGGAGGACCTGCATCCGTTTCTCTGTTGAATTTAGCAGGTATGAGGAGAGCCCCCACCAACTATGTCTGCAGTGAAGCAAGGCATTTAAATATGTGCTTTAATGCTTCAAATCTGCCGCCTTTCTGAACCCAAATCTCATAGTTGCTCTGCGTAGGAACGTACATATATAATGGGTTATGGAGAGTAGAAGCAAGTGGGCGCATACAGTGTAGGCACTGCTTTGCTCTGCTCACTGCCTGCAGATGCCCGGGCTATGACTGTCTGTGAGCCAGCATCATTGGAAACTGGGGCTGTAAAACTGTAGTGTGTGACCTGTTGATCTCCATGGTGTCTCCTGGTGTTTCTCTTTTATGGTCCTTTTACACCTCTCTAGCCTTCCCAGTGCTTCCATTACTGGAATGCAGCACCAGACTCTGGGATAAGACAGGTGAAATGATGTAAACTAACAAGGAAATGAAAGCTTTTGCTATTCTCCTCACCCATTTTGGATTTCAGTAAGATTGTTAGCATGACAGCATTGTAGTTATATTTAAAGGAACACAAAATATGAATCACTATATGAAGGGCGGTGTTTCAATTGTGACTGTGACAGTGACTTATTAATGCCTGAATATCAATATAGTGCTGGTAAAGTATCTGTGAATAGTATCAACCAGCCACAGCAAAGCAGAGAAGGGCAAATCTTATGTCTACATTTTACTTGATTTGTGAGATCAGGCTCTGACATCTAGAATTTAGAGCAACTTTTGATCTAGTGCTCACTTAATCAAATTTTTATGCTTTTTACGCATTTTGTAAATATTTGACGTGAGAAGGGAAAATCTGAAAGGGGGTGACAGTAAGAAATGAGCAGAGCAACCCATTTTTGAGTTTAGTTTATCGAGGGCTTCTGATGTAACCTGTTGTTTTTTCCATGCAGGGAGAAACTGGGCTTCCAGTGACTGAAATTATGTATGCTACTAGTACAAGCTTGAAATTTCAATTTCTTTAACAGTTAGCCTTGCAAGAATGCCAAGTGTGAATCTCATGAAAGTATTAAATATTGCTCCCTATTTAATGTAAATATTAGTGGTTTAAAAGAACTTGCAAACTGTGCCCATTTGATCTGAGCAGTTTTTTGTTCTGAGATTTTTGTTTGTGTGGAATTACCTACATTTATAGGTAGCAAACGCTCACATTTACTATACTTAGCTGGCAGGGAGAAATAGTGCTGTTGGTTTTAGTAGTGCAAGAGGTACCACTGAGAGATACTACTAAAAATAGCTGTTCCTGCTGTTTGCATGAATATTGTGCAAAACCTAAACAGAACCTTGAACTCCTGGAGAACAACAGATGTGGAAAAACTATTGTCTCTAATTGACACTGTGGTGTCAGATGAATAGAAGCAGCTGAACAAGTTCTTCCTTTGGGTTAAGCTGCATTTCTGATCTCTGGGGTGATGCTATGTTCCCACCTTTCCCTTTGGCTAGCACTGAACGATCTGTGATTTACTCGGTAACATGCTCCCAGTAAATGTTTCAGATTTTTCTTATATATCTGTCATATTTAAATGGCTATCAAGTTTTCAAAAAAATAATTTCTTACCATTTGGAATGTGAATCTCATTTTCTTGGGAAAAATACAACAGTGTGAACCATATGTCTTTAGGAAAACTCACAAAACCTCCCCAAATCTCTGACTATAATAGATTCAGTGATCTAAAGTTTGAATGATAGAGAGTCTAAGATGATTATTTTTTTTCCATGGGAAATTTAAATTTTTACTTTCTTCATGAGCCCCGATATAATGTGACTTTTCACAAGTGTGTGAATCATTATAATCCTGCCTGATCTTGTAGCATGGGATTCCTCTTAACCTTAGCTGCTAAAAGTTAAGTATCTCTCCTAAGCTGGTAATCTAGGAAGTAATTTCCCACCCTCCCCCACCTCCCCCAGCAGATAGCAATGCCAGGGTGATTCATCTCACCTGTTTTACTCACCTATCCTAGAATGGGATAAATGGCAATCTGGAGACACTTATCTCTCTTGCTTGACTACAGAAGGAGTCTCAATGACTGGCTTGGACAAGCCACCTGATTTCTAGGTGGCTATAGAGCAGGGAGGCTACCTCTTTTGATCTCAGTGCATAAGATGTAGTTTTCAAAGATGTTTTCTTAGTGCTGAAAGGATTGCTTATATATATGTGCACACACTCGTACAAATAATACCTGTCTTATTACTTGGTGTTTTGTGTATGGATTTGTGTACACTTTAATGATCAGTACTTAAATGTATAATTTTGTGTCCCAAATTTCTCTTGGAGAAGTAGCCAAATGAAACGTATGTATGCGGATAAGTTACGCAGGCACAACAACTCCCTTCACACAGAGGAACAGGGACGCTCTTACTGTAATTGAGTGAAACTCCTACCAGTTTGGTATCTGAGAAAGGCCAATCTAGGCTGATATCAAATGGAAGAAATAAACCTTATTCTGAAAATCAGTAAATGTCCACAATAGTTTTATCCTTTTAGCTGTGGAGGAGGATGTTTGAGTTCACAGGTGTTCATGGAGTGGCACCTCAGCAGAGTCCACTCAATTCAGTTCTCTGATAAGTCTAGATCTGTGGAAAAGGGCAAGCTCAGGTTTCCCTAGCTGCAGTTTTTCTGTATTGCTGAGGAACATCAGTGCCTGAATTGTTTTGGTACACTAACTTCTGTGAAGCAGTGCTCCTGTCCCAGCATGCCAGGAAACAGTAATGCAGACTCTTCAGCACTTGGTTCCCTGCTGAGCTGAGAGGAACCACACAGGTACTGAATTTCTCAACTTTGGTGGCTGCATGGTCTCCTTGAAGTGCTGAGCTGCAAAGCAGCAGCAGTGAGAAGTTAGTGCTGCCACAGTACTCGGTGGGTCCTAGACACTTCTCGTAGCATGAGCACTGGACAGGTGAGCCATGGGTACACACAGGGACTGTGGGTTTTTTTGTCAATTATCCTTCTGGTTTCTAGGCTGCCAGTATCTGGGAATGATAAGGACACTTCTATACCACACACTTGTATGACAGTACCAAGACACATGTCAGAAGGCTTAAGGCATATAGCTGGTTATTGTTCAAAACTCGTTGGATAGATGCTCTGAGAACTCTGTTGCAGAGTTTATCCTGGTCACAGATGATTTTCAGTGCAGGTTGGGGGGCCCGTTGCATGCAGAGGCTGCGCAGCTCTCGTGCTGCTGGATGAGCAGGATTTGGGAGATTCAGTGAGAACTGTCAGCAAAGGCAGCGGAGGGAGCAAGGGGATGGATAACTGGGCACTCCTTTGCTGAAAGCCAGTGGGGATTTAATGTATTAACATATAGTACTATTGGAAACTAACTCATCTGCTGGTGTTTGATTTTTTTTTTTTTTGAAATGGCAGAAATGGGAAAAAAATTATTAAAAATTAAGGAAAATCAAAGAGAGACATGGAGAGCTCTGAATTAGCACCCTTGTGGTCTGCTTTCCTTGTTGTCTTGTAATGCCAAAAGCACTGAGAAACTGTAGGTCTTCAACTGATGATATTTTGGTGAACTTTCATATAGCAGTGATAATGGAAGCAGAAATGGCATGTGTGAGAGCACCCTGGCTGTGGGTGGTTGATGA